CACCTCGCCGCCATCGACCGCAAGCTGGCCGATGAGGACGAACAGCGCCGCAAGAACGGCGACGCGTGGTTCTGATGGCGACGCCCGCCTGACCCTTTCTCTGCCGGCACGGCGGTGCCGGCCCTCGCAGGCCCCGCGGAGCGATCCCCGGGGCTTGTTTCTTTTTCAGCGGGCGGCGACCGGCGGCTGCCGACCCGGAGCGGCCCTAGCGGCTGGGCATCAGGGCCGCCGTATAGCAGACGTTCAACGTTGGATTTCAGCGGCTGGCCGTACGATGGTCCGCTTGAATGAATGCTTAGGCGCCGCTAGCAGCACTGCAGCACAACCCATGTGTTCTGGAACATTCCTTCACGGGCATGCGACCCCGGCACCCAGAAGTACAGCGTTCCAGCGTCGCCCCACATGACGCCGAGATCCTCGTCGCTGTCAAACTGAAGCAGCAACCGCCAATCCGGGACGCCAGAACGGAGCCCGTCTGCGCGGGGATCCTTGTAGCCTGATTCGTTGCCGCAATAGATCCCATGGCTTACCAGTTGCGCCTCCAGTTCCATGTTGTCGCCCTGAACGGGCGAAGGAAACCCGCCAATCTGATGCTTAGGCTTCGTGCCAAAAGCCAGGTCAGATACGAGCATCAACTGTTCGGACTCCGCGTCGCTCAAACCGAGGGACTCGATCTGCGCTCGCTCGCCGGATGGCATCGACTGGATGGAACGGAAGTGGGCAAATCGGAACGGGATCCCTGGCCGGCTGGCAGTAGCCGCATCAGCCGCTATCGCGGGCGCTTCGACGTCGCCCACCAGCAGTACGGCCCAGCTGCCCCGATCCGCTGGATCGTATCCCCACGGTTGGCGCTCCAGATCGTAGAAGAAGAGGAGTGCTCCGGTGGACGGCAGCCAGTCAAGCGGGCCGGCGCGCTGAATGTCTGCCAGACTCAACCTCGCGAGAAAGTCGAGCCGCACGCCGTTGCGTGTTGGCCAGTCTGTGCCTTCAGGCAGGTTCGGCCTGCCGCCAAAGTGGGAGCGAGACGGCACGTCGTCCAGAACGACGTGTACGGCAGGTACGGCGTAGGGCGCCGCAAGCGAAGCGACATCGCGCATCGGCGTCTTGGGTTTGCTACCGAGGAGTCGACCAAAGAGTGACATGCGAGGCCTGACGTGTTGCCGAAAGATCGTTAACGATCGGATCTTCGCCAGTGGCGGGTCTGCCGAAATGGCGAACCCTGGATGTGTGCCGGCTTGGAGCGAGTATGGCGCGCCCTGCAAAAGAAAATGGTCCCTTCATAGGGGCACAGTCATCGGCGCCGGCCCTGGAGCACCTGAGCGGGTCGGATCGCCCGCAAGCGGTCGCCAACATGGGTCCACTCCTGGCCGCAAGGCGCCTCACGATCGCTGCTCCTTGCCACGCAGCTGGCAGTCGACCTTCTCTCGCTCCGCCTTGAGCAGTGGAAGGGCCACATGGAAGTTCGCAATGAGGTCTCGCTCCGACATCACAGGGATCGGGAAGAGCACTTGGAACACACCCCAGCGTCCATCGCTCGGCCCGGTGATCTTCAGAATCGGCGCACCTGTCGTTTCCCAAGCCACGCCAGCCTGCCAACCAGCCGGATCGCTCACCCAAAGATCGCCGCGGCGCTTCGGCCACGGGCCAGGCCAGGGAATTCCGATGTAGCCCAACAGCCAGCCGTCTCGCTCGGAGCCCGCGATGGCTTTGGTGACGTCGTAAGCAGTACGGTCGGTCATGGTGACATCGCTCGAGGTACATGGCGGCAAGCCGCCACGGAGTGGAAAGTTGACTCGGAGCGTTCAAGCTCGGATGAGCAGCCTATCGTCGACGATTGCTTCCCAGGCCCTCGCACGCCCGGCAGATAGCGAAGTCCCCGAAGGATTCAACGATGCCAACTTCGATGATGACGCTTGGCGAGCGCGCCGCAGTCACGCGCTGCTCGCGAACCACACCAACAAGGAGCAGCAGCACGCCGAGCAGGATTGCCGCTGTGAAGACGGTTTCGGCGGACTCGCATGAGAAACGACCGATCATGAGCGCTCCACGCCGATTGACCGGTGGCCTCGCAGGCTACTCATGGTCTGCAAGTCGCAGTGGATTGCACGCCCGGAGGACCTTGCCCCTGAACCGCACGTGCCAGTCGGGATCGAATTCCGTGTTGGCGAACACCTGCAGACCCCCATCGACGGCGTGAACGCTGATGGGCAGCAAGTCAGGGCTTGGCCTCGCCAGAAGTTCGATCTCGTGCCCTGGTGAGAGAACCACCTGTTCCGGCACCATTTCAAGGTTAAGGCTCATCTCCTTGCCCGTGTCATTTCGAAACCGAGCAAGCACGGGGTAATCGGTTGCGTTCACGGGGATGAAGGGTTCAAGAGCATGGGCATGCGACACAGGCTAACGCAGACCGGCCAGTCACGGCCGCCCGTTCATCGCGACAAGCACCCATCGATCCATCGTGAGCGAAGACCAGCCGCATCGGGATTGCCACGGCAGTGAGCGTCGGCGCTTCACGGCTGCCGTGACAGCGCCGCCAGCAGCTCGCGCCCGACGGCCGTGGGGTCAGTACCGAAATCGGCGTGCCCGGCGCCCGGGATGATGACCAGGCGGTGGGGCACCCCAGACCGTGCCAGGGCGGCAGCCAGGCGCTTTGCCTGGTCGGGTGGCACGAGTGGGTCCTGCGCGCCGTGCAGGATCAGCGTGTACGGCCCACCCGGTGACACGCGACTCACGGTGCTGGCCTCGGCCAGCTGGGCCGGGCTGGGCGACGCTGTACCGAGCAGCGCACGCACCGGGCCTTGCTTCGCCGGCCCGAGGGTGTCGAACACGCCGAGGTCGTGCGGGCCGGCATGCAGGATGGCGAGCGTCACGCGGGCGCGTGCGCCGCGCGGCTCGCCGGGGCCGTCCAGGGCGGGGTCGTCGCGCCCGTAAGCCACCCAGCCGGCCAGATGGGCACCGGCCGAGCCGCCAATGACGGCGACGTGATCCGGATCCACGCCCCGCTCGCCCGCCACGCGCCGCAGCCAGCGCAGCGCGCAGTTGAGATCCTGCACGGCCTCCGGGTGTCGCACGGCGGGGGCGAGGCGGTAGTCCACCAGCAGGCCGGCGTAGCCCTGGGCCGCGAGGGCGAGCGCGAGAGGCTCGTAATCTCGCCGGCTGCCGGCGCTCCAGCCACCACCATGCACAAACAGCACAGCGCGCCCGCGAGAAGTGCCCACGGCCGGCCAGACCCAGTCGGCTTCGATCGGCTGCCCAGCAACACGGCACACCACCAGGCCGCGCTCGATCCGCGGCTCGGTGGCCTCGGCCGCGAGCGTGACAGTCAGGCTCGCGGCGAGCCAGCCGACGACCCGTCGAGCACGAGGGAGGACGCGGCAGGCATCAGGCATGCGCCCGATTCTGCGGCGTCAGGGCCGGTCGTTGAGCAGTTCCTCGCACTCGACCTGCGCCGCCGCAGCCGCTTGGGCCGCGAGGCTCACCGGTGCCGCGGCCACGCGCTCGCCCGCCTGCACGAAGGCCGCCGCGAACTGACGCATGACGTGATTGACGCCCCGCGGCGACACCTCGCGCAGGTCGCCTTCCAGGTACTGCCCGAAGCTCTGCGCCGACGCGATGATTTCGTACGACGGGAAGTACTCGACGCCCTCGTCCGCGTCGGCAAAGCGGCCGGCCACCGCACGCAGCACGGCCTTGGAGTAGCTGGAGGCGACCACCACCGGCTGCTCCGTCGCCGTGGCCACGAGCGGCACGGGCGACACCGTGACGATCCAGCGCATGCGCGGGTTCACCTCCGCGATGAAGGCCCGCACCCAGCTCAGGTCGGCCAGGATCTCCGGGTACTCGAAGTTCACGAAGGCGTGCCGCGTCGCATCGAACGTGCCGGCTGCCGTGCCCGGGCAAACCGGGAACACGAGGCCGGTGGGCTGGTCGACCCAGGCTTCCGTCAGGCCGAGCGTGAAGACGAACACGTCGCACTCGGTGAACAGGCGCCGGACCTGGCCGAGGTGCCAGGCACGGTCCGCGCGCAGGTCGGCCAGGCTGTCGTAGCCGCCCGGCTGGATGCGCGGGCGCAGGCCGTCGAACACGCGGCTGCCCTCGGTCAGCACCGGCGGGTCACCCTCGCGCAGGCCGAAGGCGAACTCGACGAGCTGGCGCAGTTGACGCACCGTGTAGACGTTCGCATAGCGGGCCGAGAACACGCCGTACTGAAGCTCGCGCGCCCGCTCGGGCGTGAGGCCGGCTGGCGCCTGCTCCACCACCCAATGACTCAGGCCGAAGCTCTCCAGCCGCTTGGCCATGTGCTGCGCAAAGCAGGAGCCGGCGGTGGCGATCTTCATCGACGGGGTCAGCTTGAACCGGGTCGCCGGCTTGAAATCCAGCTGCGCCCACGGCTGCGCGCTGACGGTCTTGCGCCAGAAGGCCCGGTCGGGCTTCTGCTCATACGGATGCATGCAGCACCTCCCGGATCTGTTCGGCCAGCCCCTGCGCGTACCAGGTGTTGCCGTGCAGGCAGCCCCGCGCATGCTCGGCCTTGAGCCCGCCCGCGGCCGTGAGGGAGCCGGCGGGTGGCGGCAGGCTGCGGATGCCGTGGGCGGCGAGCTGGTGGTTCAGGCCGGCATACATCAGGCGGTAGAAGCGCTGGCGCATCGCGAAGGGCTTGACGCCATGCTGCGCGAACAGCGGGCCAAAACCCTCGGCGTGGGCGCGGATGTGCGCCTCGTCCTCGATCGGCGGTGGTGCCGGCAGGTGGACGATCTGCGCCCCGCGGAACTGCTGGCGCAGCGCGAGGTGGGTGGTCAGCAACGGGCGGGCCACCTCGGCGGCCCACGCCCCGGCG